GACCAAATTAAAACCTGATGGAAATTACTTCTGCGGTCTTCGAGGAGCTCGCCAACTTAAGCCTTAGGGAGCCAGCACTATCCCTGAGGCCATGGGGGAGGAGAGAGCGCCACACTTTTTCCTTGCCACTCTTATCTTCTTCAGAGCAGGACTGTCGTTACTCCAAGATGGAATTTGCACACAGAGATTTATATCCTAGTCTTAGGGCTTCTTTCAGACAGGATGATGGCATCAGATACAGAGTTTTTTGCCACTCAGGAGATATATTCCCTCCAGTGAATCCTGGGTCTGCCCCGGGGTCTCTTCCCAGTTGGACATGCCTGAAACACTTCCACAGGAAGGCATCCAAGAAACAACCTGACCAGATGACCGAACCACCATAGCTGGCTCCTTTTGATGCAGAGGAGCAGCTACTCCAAGCCTCTCCCAGATGACAGGCTTTGTGGCCTGTCTCTTAGGGTTAGCCAATCCACCTCGCATAAAATAGATTATTTCAGTTTCTTGTACCCAAAACCCTATCTTTCAGTCACTATCCAAAGCTCAGAACAAAGATCAACTGGTAAATCTCTTCACCACAACGGTCCGATATAACCACCTCTGCACTGATCTGCCTATCTATATCCGTAGAGGACAATCCACCTTTTCCGGCTGAGAAACACCTGGCCTCAAACCACCAAAGTAAGTGCTGAAGGTCCCCGAAGATTAGAATCATAGACAGATAGCTCCCAAACTGGGCACCTTCCACTTCTCGAAGATTATTTCCATGAATATCCAAAACCTTCCTCGGATTACCACCTCAACATGGCGAAGGGTTTAAACTGCTTCAGCAACCCTGGGACCTGTGTTGTCTGGAGTTCCTGGTAGGGGATCCCTAGGAAAATAGCTTGAAAGGCTGAAGCACTAAAGGACTGTGAGAGGCCAAAGTGTGATCCAACATAGTACCCTATGGGATTCAGAAAAGCAAGGGAGACCTTGCCTTGGGATACCGAGGTGCACTCCTTAAGTCAGGCCTGGGAGAGAAGCTTGTAGAGGAGTGCCTGGTGACTGGGCTCAGCCCAAGCAAACAACATGGGGCCACCTCATTGTGGACACAACACCTGCACGATAGTATAACAGTCTCGTATTTTTCTAACACAAAACTAGTTATACAAATTAATAAAAGGGGGATTCAGTTTGCCTAATAGAAGTTTAAGAAGGACAGATGCTCACCACATAAATGCATATTATTATTTTTATATACCCATGAAAACAAAAATAATAATTGTCACCACAAAAAAAAGAAAAAGACAAGAAAAAGACAATCACATTATACCAAATAATGTAATGGATAAGTGCATCATAGCAACAAACATCATCAACAAGGCTAGTTTTTAAATAACAGGAAATAAAACAAATCCTTACTTTAAGTTGAGCTTAAAATTAAACATTTCCCAACCAGGACATTGCACAAATGCCGTTCAGCCATGCTTTCTACTGCTGCTGTTCTGCTCACTTCCTCTACTGACCCATCTTTACTTAAGGAGCTCATTTAGGCGTCATAGCACACCTAGCGGTGGGGAAGAAAACTACAGATACAAGACTTAGTAACCGGCTTGTCTGTTACAATAGGTATATCGGCCTTGTGCGATGCACAACAAGCAGCAGGTGGAGAAGGGGGCCTGTGTGGACAGCATAATCTAAGCATTGTTCAGTGAGAGCAGCCACACTCTGATGATTTGAGCCTAAATCTGACTCTTTTAGGCTTCCATCGTGATCGATTCCTTTAAACGAGGGCTATTCGGCCTACCATTATTTAGTTGCTTTTCTCATTTACGTGAATGAACAGAAATTACCAGCTATATGTGATATAGTTTTAAACTCAGAACAGAAAGTGGAACTCCAATCAGGAATACTGATTTCATTGTTTTTGTCCCCCAGATGCTTCACAATGAGAAACAAACAATAGATATTTATTATCTTAAAGGGGTCATATGATGCTGCTAAAAAGAAAATTATTTTGTGTATTTGGTGTAATGAAATGTGTTTATGCGGTTTAAGGTAAAAAAAAAACATTATTTTCCACATACTGTACATTATTGTTTCTCCTGCCCCGCCTTTCTGAAACGCGTACATTTTTACAAAGCTCATCGGTCTGAAAAGCGAGGTGTGCTCTGATTGGCCAGCTATCCAGTGCATTGTGATTGGCCGAATACCTCAAGTGTGTGACAGAAATGTTACGCCCCTTACCATATTGTGATGCCCTGTCCGGCCGGAGCAACGAGACAAAAACATTAAAACCCATTATAAACAAGGCATTTGTTGCATCCAGTGGGGACATAATTACGGATTATAATGACTTATACTGTCTTTTTACGTGTTGTGTTGCATCGCGCCGCGTAAACATAAAACCATGTCTGCATTTGTGATCGGTGACACGACAAACAACAAGCGCTACTCTACTCTGCTCAAAACTTGCGTTTGAATCGTCAGTGGAAAATTCTTTAAATATAAAAAAATTTACTTACAGTCTGTGAGTCAGAACAGTCGGCATTGTAGTCTACTCTAACAGGATCAGGAAACAGTCCTCCATAAAATGTGCTGGACACATCTGAATATTTGGGTTTAACTGTTCTGGAACAGTGTTGTAAATACAACTTAACCACTGATTTGTGACGTAGACATGTGGGGGCGTGTTAGAACGAGCTGTTTTAGGTAGGCGTGGTTGACTCTTAACTTTTATAAAGAATATCTCTTTGGATTTGAGACTTTAGTCTTTGCAACTTTACAGATCTTCTTTATGCACCAAGAGCTTGTAACACTCCAAAGAGTGCATCATATGAACCCTTTAACACAGAGACTTTGCATGGCTGTTGAAGCAAGAACGCTGATCAACGGAATGAATGTGTACTAAAAATGTAGGCATTTGAATCTATATATTAATCTTGAGAAATTTTAAGGTCTTCAATTTATGAGATTGCTCATTATTTATTACTGATTATTTGATAAGTTCAAAGTGGATCACTCAATAGAAAGAAAAGAAAAGCAGGATGCAAAATTAAATCCACATTTGCTCTGATGCTGCAACAGAAGTTAATGGTCAAAATGGCTTTAGAACAGGACATAATACTTAGGCATACTGAACTGCAACCAGTAAACAAATGGAGCTCTCAACAAAGGTTTGGGAGGAACATGCTCATGTATTCTGACAAATCACAACATTGCTTACCTCATTCCTGTGATAATTCTTCAACCGAATGCCTCCTCGCATCTAGTTACTGGAGTCTCACATTGGCCTCTTTGATGGATGTGTATCTCCTAGCCACAGACTTGTGAGGTTTAAACAAAGAAACAGTCTGCCTGCCCCATGCTTGCTCATAACTGAATAGTGATTCACTAGATCCACTACATGCACATGGGGGACTACTATTTAGCATTATATGTTGCATGTTAAGTCCCTTTTGTTCAACTGAAGTCAAACAGCTTAGTGTGAGGAATTTAGGAGAAACAAAATGCTGTGTAGCGTCCACCTGGTTACAGAATTCCTTCAACTCTTTTGCTTTCCCTAAGTACACAGACCAAAATACATAGAGACATGAACTAACAAGTGGATTTTATAAATAAACAGTACCCTGGGGGGTTGTGCACACCATTTACAGTAGGCAAAATATACCCAAACTCTCAGATGTTTATTATTATATATGCTGCTGGTGTTGAAATTTGACTATTGTAGTAGTCTCACTGAGATATTTTAAATGATTCAACACATGGATGCTAAAATCATGTGCAATAACACAGAACATTATGTTTCGCATGTTAAGTTGTGTATATGTTTTGTGTTCTTGCTGAGATTATTCCGATAAATTCTGTATTTGGTTGTCTTGCATGCCCTGTGCATTTGACTTTTCCCTCAATGACAGTGGCTCAGTGGTGTTGAGAATCAGTTTTGCCATTCAGAGCAATCAAGGAACTCATATACAACTATCCCAAAACAATGCAATCAGTCATCAGTGCGCAAGGAGCAAACAGACAATGTTGCAGACCATAACTCTAAGCCCTAGAACCCTAACTTACGTTAACTTACTTTTTTAAATGCTGAGCATCTTACAGTTTTGCAACAGGTGTGTGAACACAACTGCGTTCTATAGAAATGCATGTCATAGAGATTGCCAGTGAGGTAGTATAACAGGATTTTCCTCAATTTAATTGATTCTTCACATATTGTCAGATAAACCAGAAAACGTCTTGAGATTCTATATACATATTTAATTGACCCCCCCACCCCCACAGACAAAAAAAAAAAATCATATTCACTTATTACATACTGCATTTACAATTGTATTTACAATAGCATTTTTAACTATCACAATGAATATAGCATGGAATAAAGCAACTTACTTACTGAAAATGTGTTGAGGCTAAGTTCTTAGCATTTGTTCAATTCCAACTGCATTTTCAACAACACCTTGTTCCCAGACAATCATTTACAGAATAGTTCTGCACAATGCTTTCTTTTGTACCACAACCCTTTGCCAAATACATTAGATGGTTCACTTTGATGAAATCTATTGGTCTCATTGGCCAGCAATACTCCCATTTCTTTGAACACTGTAAAGGAACGTTATTTTGGCTAAAGAGTATATACGTGACAGGACAATACTTGATCTCAAAAGCATTTACTGTGACTCTGACAATATTCTCAGACAGTTTTCTCAATTAATTGTGGCAAAACTATATATATATATATAAAAAAAAGATTAATCAAATTTACGTCAAAAAGGGTTGAATAGAAAATAAGGAAAACCACCGAGAGATCATGTCCTCGTCTTGCTTGGCTAGGTATTCCAAGAGATATGTTTGCAAAATGAGTATCAGGGAACCTGGTTTGAAGTTCTGCAGCACCATGCAGTTAAATTCTTACATTCATAAATAGTCCAAAACGGATGTCCTTACAAGAGAAACAAGTAGAAATAAATAAATAAATAAAAACAAAATAATAATAAATCAATCTTTCTTATCCGAGGCTTTCTGCATTTGGAAAAGAATAAAGAAAGAAGAAGAAGAAGAAACAACAAAACCTACTCTCACAGTCTCAAAGTCAGTTGGATTTAGAAAAAGAACAGCCAAGCTGGAGACCGTAAAGAGAGAAGGTCAAGTCCAAACATTTCCTGTCTCATCGTAATTTTGACTTTCCATATATGTTGCGTTGCACTGTTACGACTTTCTCCAGGCAGGCTAGCCGGGTTTCATGAAGTGAACTGTGCCATAAAGTGCCGCCTGGTCTCGTGCCATCACTGCGACACAGCATGTATGGCACACTCTCTGTTCGGCTTTGGATGAAGCCACTGCGGAGCAGTGAGCGGCAGAACAGACTGATCCGATCCATTCGTCTCAGGATCAAATGGGCCTTCCTGTGGTGACCAGAAAGAGAGCTGTTAGTGTTAGACCTAATTAAAGGGTTAGTATGACAATTCTGTCATTAATTACTCACCCTCATGTCATTCCAAACCCGTAAGACCTTCGTTCATCTTCGGAACACAAATTAAGATATTTTTGATGCATTCTGAGAGCTCTCTGACCCTCCCATATACAGCAAGGGTACTACCACGATCAACGTCCAGAAACGTAGCAAGTAGATTGGTAACATAATCCATGTGACATCAGGGGTTCAACCGTAATATTACGAAGCTACTAGAATACTTTTTGTGCGCAAAAGAAAAAAAAATAAACGACTTTATTCAACAATTCGTCTCCTCCGCGTCACCCTATTGCCATTTTGGAGAGTATCCACTGAACGCTAACAGCGTATGTTGTTCTGTGTCAGCTGCACCATGTGGATACGTTTTCTACATTGTTTGTGCTTTGATTTGAACGAAAATTTGTTTGCGTTCAGTAGATACTCTGGTGTCACATGGATTATTTTACCGATCTCCTTGCTACGTTT